AACATGGCGTGGGGCGGCCGTTGGGCGCGTCACTTGCGGCCGTTATTGTGGCATAGCCGCCCGTACTGCTGGCAGCTCCTGATGAGCAGGGGCCTCCGGGACACAGAGGGTTGGGAGCAGGTTCCTGTCCCATATGGGGTCAGGCGGAGAGCCCAAGATAACGCGTGTCCAGCTTTCCCCCTTCTGCTGTGTATGGAGTTGGGCAAGCACCTGCCAGGCTCCATTGTCTAAAAGTAAAAATGACAGGAAATACATGAATACTTGTTTTTTTGCTTGTTTGTTTTGTTTTTGTTTTCCCTGAATGAGATGACTGGTTTTCAGAAAGCAAATGGATTCTTCATTACTTTACACAGAATGGAAACAGACTTACTGAACAATACTCAGCTGATAAACACCAGATAAATACTAAATTGAGAGTAGCTGCTGTGATTTGTGAAGATTTATGTCATTGCTACAAAGCCCCTGTATGATCCCCCTAGGCAGCAGGTTACATGGAACTTAAGAAAGTTTATTGACCTGAAAAATCCATAAACTGCCCAGAAACAAATATTTTGGCATTTGGGGATTTTTTTTTCTGACAAAAGATACACATTAGTCAATTAGAAAATAATTGCCTGGTATGCGCCTGGTGCAAGCACTGGTAACCTAGCTGAACTGTGCATTTTGCATGTGCTTAGAAGACTAGAGGTTATAGTCAGACAAAATGACCCTGTTCTCAGGTTTCACTTTATGTCCTTAAAAAAGAGCTGTCTCTGAAATATTGTTGCTGCTCTTGCGGTGGTGCTTTTCAAGACAACAACTGGCAATTGCTAACAAGTGCCTGTCCAAATACCACAGGAAGGAGTTGGGTCTGTTCACTAGCAGTGAGTTCAGCATCAGGGAAAAACATTATAAACACTAATGCATTATCCCAAAAGCTCCAAGGACAGCTGAGCAATCAGTGGATAAGCCGAGGCAGATTTTTAGTAAAACTGCAGTATGCTTATGGTCTCTGGATATCCTTCTTTTAGAAGTCTTGTTAAAGTTTTGTGGTTTTGTTTTGCTTTGTTTTCCCCAAAAGTGTCTCCTTACCTTCAGGGAAATATATTCCATAAATCACTGCTTATCACCTAATGCAACTAACTGGCAAGTAATCCAGACACAAAATAGTGATATCTGTAACATTCTGCTTACTGTAAAGGCAGGTTAAAGCACAGCTGGGATTGTTCTGTCTGCTCTGAGGCTAAACTACTGTGAGGAGAGTGGGCTAAACATACAAAAAGATTAATAGGTGGCTGCTCTGAGAAACAGCAGGCGTTTCAAAAAGAGGTAAAACCAACCAATGGTACTAAGGAGGTAGAAAGAGTCATGTCATTTCTTCTCCTACCCTCGCTCCCTTCCGTGCCAACCAGAGAGTTTTGAGTAACGAGTGACTGGGAGCTGCTGAAAGCAGAGAGGAGCCAGGAACGTATCTGGAGTAGGCCGCTGAATGGCCAGCAATTCCAGAAATTCTGGAAGAAAATGTGAGATACACATTTAGCATGGTGAAACAGAAACTTTACCAAATAGAGCTGGGTATCTGGAGCACGTCACTAGCAATAAAGTGCATCTGAAGCTGGCACACATTGATTTCTTTCCTGTGGAAGCTGGCATAGGAACAAAGCTTGTTGTGAAATGCATTGTAAGTATGTGGTTCAGTCATGAAAGAAAAGATGTTGAAGTGAGACATCCTACCTATGTCTGTAGACTGTAAGAACCCAGATCAAAGTGAGCTTGATTTGCGTGGGCTTGGGATTAGTCTGGAGTGACTGTGCAAAAACTGAGTTCTGCAAAACTTGGGTATTACTGGGAATGATAGCCAAGATATTTTGGGAAGATAGCCAGCAGATGGAAGGAAGAACACTCCCTTCCATCTCTATTTTCCAGCTCCTAGTGGGAAAAAATATATCAATGCAAGATTATATAAAAACAGTGACATTTGCTGAAGGGAAACTAAAGGGAATCGTTACAAGATTGTCTATGATTTTGGCTGTGGGAAAGGTCTGGAACATAAATTATTGTGAATATCTGGAATAGACCTTTGAAAGAAGTTTAGCCATTTGCAAATGCAGAGAGGCAGCCATGCAAAAGAGTTTGAAAAGGGAGATGCAACTTAATTTCTCCTAGTATTGACTGTAGCTCTTTTCCTCTTGTGAAATTCTGATTTCTTTGAATTCTCTCTCTGGTGTAAGCTAATGGGAAAAGATTTTTTTTTTCACTTCCATTCATATCAGCATGTCTGGAAAAAAAACTGCCAAGAATGACATGCTGGTTCCATAACTTTTTCTGTCCTCCTGAGAAAAGGTTTTTGGCAACACCTATGTCAATACCTGACAACATCTGTTAGGCAGAATGCCTAATGTAGCAAAATGTGGTTTTGGTCTCTGAACATTTGCCATTAGAGCAGAAGATAAACGGATTTGTGTTAGAGAGGCCCCTTTACATCTTTCATCATAACTAGTTGAAAGAGCAATCTAAGCTTGACAGATTCACCAGAACTGAACATATATATATATGTATATATATATATATATAAGTTTCTCATGGACTTGGATATTAAAAATGGTGTGTAGATATGGATGTATATTTTGCAGGACTGGAAAACATTTTTTAAGGTCCTGTAAACAGAAAGAAAGAATGGACGTGATAAAAAAAAAAAAACGAAAGTGTATGTGCCAGGATAGCAAATTGTTGACTGTGCGTGTAGGGGGATATTAGCCCTTTGGTCAAAAAGCAATGGAAAAGAATTCATTTACCCTGACCATCTAACAAGCAAAGCAGGGCCAAAAACCTTTTCAAAACCATTCAGGGCAGAAGCCCCACAAGGTCAGAAAGTCTTCTACCCTGCAGAAATGAGACAGAAGCCAAATAGTCAAGCCTTTATTTACATGTGTGTATCTTCTTTTTCTACTTGTCTGACTTTCATTTAAGTTTTGGTGCATAACTAAAAAATCCCGGAGCCCATCTGATCGTGCGGCTAGTGGAATCTGTGGTTTCTGTGGAAGGGCTTCATGTGGTCATGTTTACTAGATTTTAGGAGGATTCCTAGGGCATTTAGAGGTGCTTGGTCACATGTAGGAAAGCCCAGTTGTGCAAAATGCTCTGGGATGTGCCTGCTTCTGAGGTGCAGATCACTATGTCTAGTTGCACTCAAAATAAAAAAAACAGCGAAGAAAAATATTAGCTATCCTAGCACAAGTAGTGCACTCCAAATCTACAAGTTGAACAGGAAGGGAATGCAAAAAGAAGAAAGAAGAGGTAAAATGTCAGTGAAGTGTTGTCAGTCTTTGTAGGTCCCAGATACTTAAACTCCACAACCTCTCTGGGCAGCCTGTTCCAGGGCTCTGTCACCCTCGCTGTTAAAAAATTTTTCCTTAAGTTCTGCTTCAGTTTCTGGCAGTTTCCTCTAGTTCTATCAGTGGCCACCAGAAATTACTTTTTGTTTTTACTTTTTTGTTTGTTTGTTTTGTTTTTCTGTTAAGTAGTAGTTTATACATATTTGGTATAGAGCTTCAGTGACAGTACTCATTCCTACATGTACCTCTGCTTTTTCACTGACAAGGAAACGGAGGATGCTTGGAATATGCTGGAGAACAGGAAAATGGCAGAAGGAAGCGAGTACAATTTAGGCCACAAGGCTATTTGTCTTCTGGCATTATACCAAACACAGCTGCCATCTGGAACCCTTCATGCCTCTGTCCTCACTGCTGGTGGCATCTCTGAATGAGTGTCTCTCACCTGTCAGCATTCACAGCCTGACCAGTTTTCCTCATGCCCCCTTGTGATGGCGGATGAGGGATCCTTGCATGTCATCCCCCAGATTCGCTGCCGGCTCTCCCAGACATGCCGATGGGTGCAAGACCCCACATGAGAAATGAGAGCGTGAGCAGCGCTTCGACAACGAGCAGTGAGGAGAGCCAGAGGAAGTGAAGGCTGAGGGTGAGGGGAGCAGGGTTGAGAGCACCACAGAGGCATCGACTGGAACCACGCTTCCCTGGTTCCCTTTCCAGTCCCAGCTCTTCTCCATCCCCGTCGTTTTTCTGGTTCTGCACCACTGCAGTCGAGGGAATTTTGCAGCTTCAGTGAGGGCAGGTTGGGCTTTTGCTCTTGCTTTCTATCTATTTCATTTTTCTTTCTTTGCTTTCAGCTTGGGGATAACCCCCATGGATTTGTCCATCAATCCGCAGTTCAACAACATCAGGAAGGCAAATATCACACTCCTTATTAAATCCTAGCGGGGCCTTGCACTGTTCCATATCTTCCCAAAGCGTAACAGAGGTGATGTAAATTGACACGAAGTCCGTGTCTTCTCAGTGTGAGAAAAACATATTCTGCGCAGGAGGATAGATTGTAATACTTGATGACATAGCAGCTGGGGGGTGACACTGGGCATCCAGAGTTAATCCCTGAGGTCCTGCTGGAGGGGCACTGTGTCCTGCTGACCTCGCTTCTTCCCCTGAAGGTGGGAAGCGATGTCGTGGTGTCTGACAGGAATATCCCTCTTGTCACCAATGTCCGCAGCAGATACCTTGCTGTGCGTGACTGGTGCACACTGTCACCTGCATGACAAAGCCATTTTGTGAAAAACGAGAAAAGAAGGAAGTGGCAGCAGTGAGAGGTTAGAAAGCAAACTAATGTTTTCTTTCTTACAATACTGAAAGTATCAAAAGAAAAACAAAGTGTGTGATTTTGCAGCACCCGAAGTCTACAAGGTGCTTAGGCTGAAGCTTTTAAAGAGCAACTCTAACCCAAGGCACAGATTTTGTAAGACTGACTAAAATTAAAGTTTTCTTTGTATTTTCTAATTTTTGCTAAGTATTTTTTTTAAGTAAGACCCTTTTGACTGTGTCTACTGGAGGCCAGACAACCATCATGTACCTCCAACATCTTTGTGGCAATGCTCTGGGCCTAGAAAGGCACTGTGGTGATAGATCCTGTTCAGACACTCCTAGAGAAGTTTGAATTGTCAACGTTGGGATAAATGCAGAATACCTGGAGGAAAACTTAGCTCTGTCTGAGTGCTCAAAACTACATACAGTGGCTGAGAGCTGTGTATTTAGATTCCCTTTTGTGCATGGCTTTTAACAGGCACTAGCGTTTCAGGCTACCCCAGCT